TTTTTTTTTTTTCCGTGGGGAGCAGCATGTGCTGGAAACCGGGTCCAGCGTCCCTCAACGAGTAACTTAATACAAGAATTGTATACGTTATCCTGCGCGGAGGCGGAGAGGTGGATGGGTAGATTCTAGAGGTGGTTATAATTATGAGTGCCCATCGGGATACATACAGCGTATGTATACATATAGATCTTTGAGGATGCTGAGAGGCAGGTGGCTGCATCCTACACGCAATGATACAACTGTAAAGGTACGTCAAGCTGTATATACGGGTCTACTGTGGAAGCAGAGAGGTGGATGGGTGGTCCATGATAAGGCGTCGAGGTTGAAAGACAAGAATGGTGTAAGGATATATGCATCAACCGAAAGCAGGATGGGTAGTCATAGTTTGCATGATATCCTAATCCTTGTGTCTTGTGTTCGGAGCTGAAGCGGACAAGCGGATAGGTGACCCTTTTCTAAAACAATTCTTGAAAAGAAAAGGCAACAAAAATCAAATCTTAATGAGAAAAGGCAAGCTCGAGTTGGGCACGTACAAGCGGATAGGTGACCCTTTTCTAAATCAAATCTTAATGAGAAAAGGCAAGCTCGAGTTGGGCATGTAATCAATTGCCTTGATAGTCTTTGATAGTCACCGGGACTGCCGCACGCAGACGGCGAGAGGTGAAAGGACAACCCTCGCTTGCACGAGTAAAGCTGATCTGATGCGAGAACTGCTGCGGAAGCCGAGAGGGTAGAAGGGTCGGATGCACAGACAGCGTGCAACCCATTTCGTCGAACCTGAAAGTAATATCAACCACGGCCTGCCCACAGTGAAACGACGGGCCTTCCAGGTCAAAGCAACTCCGATTGGCATGTATGCATCTGGTTTGCCGCAAATATGTCGGCAAATATATCTTTTTCTACTCTTAGACTATTAATACTCTATTATAGTACTACTTCTAGACTATTAATCTAGGCTACCAGCCGAGCCGCCCGGGTCACTCCATTTTCCCAGGCGGCCCGGCCGTGCAAGGACCAGGGAAGGTCCCAGCCAAAAAAAAAAAAAAAAAATCCAAAAAATCCGAAAAAAACTAGGTTATGCAGACAAATACACTGAACAACTTTTGCCTCAGGGTCAAATCGAAATTCTTTACCAAAAAAAATATATAAAAAAATATAATTTTTATTTTTTATTTTTTTATTTCTTTTTGGCACGGCCGGGCAAGTGGACACGGGCCACTCTGGTAGCCTAGTCTATTATAGTATTATAATATTATCATCGTATTTTGGAACTTCAATCATTTTCAGCGGGCAAAATTGGAAAATATATCATCATCGAACTGAACGGCGCCAGGTAATTCAAAACTATATATTTATTCAGTTCGTCTGATTACATCTGGACTCGATCTTGGGTCTGTATTTCAAGACTTCATAGGTGTAACAACTGAGCTACAATAAAACAAAGAAAAAAAAAAAAAAAAAAAAAAAAAAAAAAAAAAAAAAAAAAAAAAAAAAAAAAAAAAAAAAACCAACTGAGCTACGCCCGTTGGTCTCTTAAATATTTTTTAGTGGGCAAAATTGGGTGTAACTTAAACTGTAACATGTATTCATGTAATTTTTTATTTTTTTTTAACGTTGTACGGTTCTACCCTCATACGGCACAAATTAGTACTTACCCTACATCCCCTATTTTTCTTTCTGAAATTTTCGCCAATGGAAATGATGATTACAAAATTAGAAATCGCGTAATTTGTGGTACTCGGAACACTTTGTGCATTCTCCCGGTAACGCCGTCAGGTAGTACACCGGTTTGCACCGGTTACCGTATCACTGGAGCACCATTTTGCAGTTGAAGCCCTCTCTTTGTTTGTAGTTCAAGCCTTCCATTTTGCAGTGTAAGGATCGCCACTGGAAATTTCTCTTTCAGCTACCACAACTTTCAGAAGAGGGTTTGTCGATACTGGGGGTATAAAAATAAAATTTCAAAAACGAAAAAGGAGGAGGATTTCATTTCCTGAAGCTTTTCGGGTCCTTGGTTTATGATGAGGCATCTGTTTGCAGAGCTCTGTAACGTGCATTGTCATGCCTCTCTCTCTCTCTCTCTCTCTCTCTCTCTCTCTCTCTCTCTCTCTC